GGTATATTTTTGCTCATTTTGCAACTGTTTTGTACGATTTACAGTATGGTTGAAAACTTTTTTTTTTGGAAACGACCGAAAATTCCTGCGCTCGCGGATGTCATCCATATAATCAAATCAACATGGCCTGATTAAAAAAACCTTTTCTTTCCTTGTATCGTATCTAGATGAAACAGTGTAAAGAGAAAACACTATCCTAATAAACAAATAAACAAACACATGGTTGTAACTGTTGTATGTATTTCTCTAACATTTTTCTATTCACATATATTTATTGAGTATTGGGCAAAAAGCAAAAGTTGCTCATATAACACTTACTCAAAAACATACAACGAGTATAAAACACATTGACAAGGTGGATAAAACCAAGATAAATACAAACAAGACAAGTTGGTGATCTATCTTTAGTATCAATTACGAGAATCTAGCCGTACAGTAAATGAAGTTTCGAACTATATCAAAAACATTACAGTTTTGTAGGCGTGAGAGTGATGTGGACCCTCGAAGTAGTAAAGAACATAGGGAACTGTCATTGAGATACTGTAGCTCTACTATGTTGGAGAGAGATGATAACAGAGTACTTCTCTAACGTTCTACTCTCTGTCTCCCCCTAGCGGAAATCCGGTGTTACTGCAACACGCCGACCTGTGTGACGACAGGGTACATGTGTAAGTCTGAGCTGGGGATCTGTTACTCCGACCTGCTGGGAGATTACCGCAAACACTCCCCGCCGGAGCACGGCTGTATCGACCACCGCCCGGAGTCCCGGAGCCCCGTGCTCTGTCCGGACGGCGCGGCCGAGGGGTCCAGTAGAGACTGGCCGCTGGTGCAGTGCTGTACGGAGGATATGTGCAACTATAACGACCACCCCGGGATACCATTCCAGACCAGCAGTGACAGAACAGGTACATTTAGAAAATATAACATAAGATAAAGTAGAATATAGAATTGGCTAGGCAGTATCCAATGCCTAAAAAGATAGGATACGAAAAAGAAAGACCGATGAAAATGCACAAAAAGCCGTCAAAAAAACGTCAAAAATAAGCTGAAGCCTAAACTTCTGTTTGGACAGTAGTATGGTTGATGGTCTGTACAACTTAGCTTTTCTGCAATGTCATTAATTTATGTTAGTTTCTGCAATGTCATTAATTTATGTTAGTTAAGTATGTTATGTTATGTTGTGCAATGTTATGTCACGTATGATATCCAAAATTATTTAGTACGATTTGAGTGACTCATTCTTTTCTTGGTTTGTCTCCCAGATCACGAAAGACAGAACGACTGGTCACCAGTAGGTCCTGACGAACAACTACCGAGTAGCAGCGCCATCTGGTTCCGCGCGGCTGTCATTGCAGTTCCCATCACCGGCGCCGTGATCCTGACATTTCTAGTCTTTGTTGCAATCCGGATGCTGAGAAATGAAGACAAACGGCACAGGAAAAGACACCAGATCCTCTCCGCCTTGCACCGGGGATATCCGTACTCACAAAAGACGTTTATTTCCGTGCGGACTCAAGACATTGAAAAAGAGTCGACGGCGGCGTCATCGAACTGTGTTACAAGTAGTAGTTCATTCTCGGCAAGTGAAACTAAAAACAGTTCCAGTAGTCATCCCAACGTCACGTTAGTACACTGGGAACAATGCAATGTTACAGATAGTATTGATGTCATCTGACATTACAGAACGGAGCTAATGTCTAGTGTGGACCACTGACCGGACAGCGGGTTCTGTCTGCCAACATATTAACAGAACTACTTTTCGCATAGCGATTTGCACAAGCAATAACAATATTGCATATTTCGTTGGCATTGTCAGTGCGGTCATCTTACGTACAACAAACCGCCCTGTACAATCACAACAATCACGCTACGGACAATCGGAAGTGTTTTTAGTGTTTTTATCGTCGATGAAAGAACCCAGGACGCACGGGTATATGATACTGTATAGGGCTTTTTTAATGTTGCCAAACAGTTTGTTCGAATTGTATTTATATTGCCATGCTACGTGGAATTAAAAGATGTGTACATAATAAGATAGAAACTTAATAAAACAATTTATCAGATAATATTATAGCGTGAACCATTATTTTACCCGTCAGAAACTACATATGGCCTTGACGTTTTGTCAATTTATCTAAGCGATGCAACAAAAGTTTCACGACCTCATATGATATTCACTGGATGATGATAACCGTCTACCGGTTCTTGAGTTATCCTCAATTGTATATAATTAAACAAACGCCCCTGCATTTCCAGAGCAAGCCGCTAGGGGGACCGAACCCACTTCACTTCTTTCCCGAAAACAAGAGCTAATATAATCTAAGTTTCGTGACCCTAGCATATCTATGTCATGAGATATCAAAACCGGAAGTTCAGCTGCAGTACCATAAGAAGTCGCTAGGGGGCCAAAATCTAATCATTTCTAGGTCTCATGAAGATCTACCCACCTACCAAATATCAAGTCAATCCAATTAAGCCTTCTATTAAAGGTATCGTGTTTACAGATAGTGACACACACACATATACACGAACGCTTCTGAAAATATAACCTTCATGGCGAAGGTAATAATAAGTTATAAAAAAATCACAAGCTCTGCTGCAATATCATAACAAGAAGATAGGGGGCGTATCGAGATTACCTCCTACGGGTCAATGGTGGATTTTATGAGTAAATTTTCTTAGACACGAGAAGGTGTTTCCACACGTGCGATCTGAAGAAATAGGTCAGCTGGGTCCTTGTGTTAGGTACTAGTATCACTAGAAGATGACGTCCTCCAACCTACGCCATTACATAGCCATGTCTTTACCAACTTCTTAATCAAATTGTTATCAATTGTATTATATAGGTCACATCTTAACATTGGTGTGATTGCAAAGTTGCACAAGGCTTCATGAACATGCATCATCCAACATACATGTACTACTAGTAAATCCCTTACAACTCTATTGGGGCTGTGGCACGTGTGCGGGGGAGGGGGGTTCTCACGTGGTCATATCAGATTTCGTGCCTGGCCAATAGGATTACTACAGTACTATACTAGCAGTTAAAGTTCTGAGTACGGCCATGGTTGTCCATATTGACAGGGCCTCAGACACCTCTCCCCTCAAGGCTCAAGAGAGCTGGGAGCACTAACTGTTGAGTCATTAGAGGGGGCCTGCATGGGCGGGGGGGG